AAGTGACGTCACCCCATTCAAAGTGAATGGGCAGAAGGGTTGGAAGAAGCTTCTAACGCTGCTGTGTGGACGGGCCGGAAGGCTGCAGAAATTAGGACTGATGTAGGTCAGAAGAGAGAAAAGGACAAAAAGAAAAGACATTGGAGTTGAGAATAGAAAGAGAAGGAAGGTGAGAGGAAAGGGTGGCCTGGCGGAGCGAGAGAACAGGAAAATGTGTGGGCAGCTGATAATTGGTTTATAGCACTTGGCATTGTCTGTGTTAGTGGGTGAGCATGTGTGTAATGTGTGTGTGTGTTAAAGGCGCTGTGTCTCTGGCTGGTGCCCAGAACAACCTGTGGGCGGTGGAAGGAGGCAACAAGCTGGTGTGTTCTGGCCTGCTAAAGACGGCCAACGCTAACCTTCTGCAGGCACAAGTCAACTCCATCTCACCGCTCTACTCAGGTACTTCAACCCTGAGAGTACCATGATTCAGATTCATTTCATTAAGTTTTCCAAGATTTTTAAACGTGTTTCCTGTTGCTGTTTTTGCAATACAGCATTTTCATTATTAACCTTGTCTGAAACTATGCATCTTCGATCCATGAATTTGAGAGAATTGTGCCTGGAAAGCCCTGGAAAATCTCTGAAATGAAACAAGTAATAAGGATTACTGGATACTGGCTTTAAGCAGAATGTTATGCTTTTGCGAAGCAGAAACTTCACACTCGTGCTAGATGTTCCTTCATTGTGTTTCCAAAATATATCTTTGGAAACTCAATGCAGATAAAGACAGCATGGTCAAAACACCATTAAAAATGACCTAGGCCAGAATGTCAAAACATCATTTAAAAAATGATTCAGGCCGAAACTTCAAGAAAGAATTATCTAAGTCGACATTTCAAGCAAATATGATTGAGTGGGGGAATTCAGGAGGGTGGAAGAAATAATGGTGTCTTACGTAATTGAGAAATCAAGATCAAAAAAAGGAGAGTCTGAGGCTGCCTTAGTACCTGAGATCATCCGATACTCCACTAATTAGACTATTACTGGGATGAAAGAGAAGTAGGCTACATACACACAGACATTAAAGGTAGTCACATGAACTGACTCGTGTTTGCAGAATCTTCAGTAAACTCTATTCTATTGGAACTCTTTTGAATTTTTGGGAAAGTTAAATAAGTTCTAACATAGTGTTGTGAAGATCTCGAAAGACATCCAGGCGCAACTTCAGAGGTTTCTCCATGACAAAATCTGATGTTGAAACTGAACTACTATATACCTAATGTAGAAATCTTACATATTGAAAAGAAAGCACAAAAATATTTTATTTTGAAAACCATCTACAGAATCTGAATTTATTTATATGGCTTATAGCTCGCTCTTTCAAGTTTCCAGAGGTAACTTTGGTCCTTTCAATAGAAATTAATATTCATTATTGCAGTATCTAAACTCTTGTTTTTGGCTCAGACATTGGCCGGAGGTATTTATCGCTATATTTTCCGATAGATACCACTGATGAATTAGTATTCAAATCATCAGTAGAGTGTTAATGTGTGTATTTCCCAACAGGAGAGGCTCCTCAGTACCAGCTGAGCTTCACCACAGCGTCAGAGACGAAGTCGGAGCTGTACGACATCGTGGTGTTAGCGACTCCACTGCAGGCCAGCGTCAGATCCGGAGTCCAGTTCCAGGGTTTCACCCCTCCCTTCGACGAGCTCCCTGGCAACTACCACAGCACTGTAGCAACCATCGTCCATGGTTACCTTAATACCTCTTTCTTTGGTTTCCCGGACCCTCGCCTCTTCCCCTTCGCCAGCGTCTTGACAACCGAGACACTGGATGTGTTTTTCAACAGCGTGGCGAGTGTTTGTCCCGTCAACATCTCCACGGGCTTCAGGCGTAAACAGCCACAGGAGGCCGGAGTTTATAAAGTGTTTTCTCCACAACCTCTGGTGAAGGCTCAGCTGAAAGCATTGTTCAGGTCAGACACTTTCCCTCCTGGTGAGAAATAATCGTATTAACTCGAGCTGTAACCAACTTTATTACTTCATCATTTTATTGGCTCCTATCCTACGGTCATTGAGGTTGGCATTAAAGGTCCCCTATTATGCAAAATGCACTTTTTGATGTCTTTTATTCATAAATGCGTCCCCGTTGTGTAAGGAGACTCACAAAGTGTCAGAAAAAAAAACCCTCTCTCTTTTCCACCGTACCCAAATCTCTAAAAACGGGGGTACAACGGAGCTGATCCTGATTTACTGCCAATATGACGTAATATCGGAAATGTGGGCTGGCTTTACACCCACGGCACTATCAGAAACGTTGCTGTATCAGAAACAATGCGCGACCTAATAGACGTAAAATGGTCTTTGTTTACATTAGCAAGCATCGCTAACACTCAGAGCTAACGCTATACTAGTGAGAGTATGTGTACAAAAAAAAAATATATAAAAAGGTACTCACCTTGTGGTGAACCAGCAAGAGAACAAATATTTGAGCTCCATATTGTTTCAGAAATAATCCTTGATGTGGTTTGGAACATAATATGGCGTTTAATCACGGCAGCATTTAGCTGAGTATCTGTTTCTCTGTGCAGCTCTTCTGCATGTGCACTCCAAAGGGGGCGTGGCTACTGACCCAGAATCAGAACTTTAGTTACAGGGCTGAAATAGAGGGGTATAGCTACAATGGGTGATCTGTTTGATATTTTGAGCAAAACACTTCAGAGACATGCTTTGTATAGATATGGCCCTATAATATATTGTTCATATATAGCATAATAGGTGAGCTTTAACATCTTTACTTGTACTCCTCCACCTCAGGTCGTACTACTCGGTGCAGGTGACCGAATGGCAGGCCTACCCTTGTTACGGCAGCAGCCAGGGACTCCCCCCTGTGGAGCTCCACCCAAATCTCTACTACCTCAATGGCATCGAGTTGGCCGGTAGCGCCATGGAGATGAGCTCAGTGGCGGCCAAGAACATCGCCCTGCTGGCCTACCACCGCTGGAACAGACAGACGGACATGGTGGACCAGAAAGATCTGATGCACAGGATCAAGACTGAGCTATGACCGGGTAAACTGGAAGCATTGTGGCATCACAAAGCTGGTGTGCTGGAAAATGTCTGTGTTAAGGTACAAGATTTTACATTTGAATCGTGATATGTCTCAAGTAGCGAAATGTATTTAGAGACACTTCCGAGTTATTTATTACTGAACACATCTTATACACTGAATATATGATTGTAGGTTGATTATAATGTTGCACTGCCTTATCTTAAATAAACGTAACCATGCAACAAAGAAGCTAGTAAATATCAAAATAGGGCTGTACAATATTTCAGCATCCAGCGCATGTGCGATATTCACATAAAATAAAGTAAGTAAAGCAAATGAACTCCAACACGTCATGCTAAAATATGTTTTCTGGTCAAATTAAAGGAAAACATTTCAATGACTGGACAACAGGAGAAGTCTGTTTGATATAACATCATTTACTCTGTTAATATTGAGCGGCACATTCATATTTGTTCCCTTTATCAAACAACCAAAGTGGGCCCCGCTAGTCTCTTACCACAACCCCAAATATAATTGAAGAACAGGTCAAAGACAAATGCATCTTTGGTATAGTATGGAAATACTTTGGCTTAAAAAAGGATGATGCACAAAAACGGTGTAAAAAGTCCTCTATTTTTTCTTTATGATATTGCAGAAATGGCAACATTTTCCAATACTGTGCAGCCCGTTATGAAGGTCAAATGAAGTCTAGCATTCTAATCACATCCCGACTATTTTGCTGATTGCTTCATTCTCTTTGCCAAAGAGACATTGCAGACATTTTGCCCGATTGGTTGAGGATTGATTGCTAATGCTAATTGGCGGCCTCTCCTGCAGGATACTTTTCTTTGCCAAGACGTATAGAAACAAAGCAACCGTTGAAAACACCAGCTAATATTTATCTCTGTGGGACTGTTGCGTATGGGATGGATCGCTTATGTCACTGTCTTGTGGCACAAAAACCAGCCCTCTGTCATATAATCAAATAACATCAGCGCTGCTTTTACTGTATACGTTGAAGGACTGTTTGTGGACACCGAGGACTCATCTAGTAATGTCAGTAGGATGTTGGTAAATAATTCAAACTGATTCAGTGACTCACGGTCGTGGCCACTGGCGCTATGCTCTATTGCCTCTTTCATCAGATGATTTCATTATCTCTACTTCCTGCTGCTTTTGTTGCGTAATCCAGCGGAAAGAATTTTTTCGGGAACAGAGCCAACGAGCTTTCACACTGGAACAGATGAAAGCAGAGGACAGGTCTGTGGAGCTGCTGCCTGATGACATGTTTTCTTTTTTTTAAAAACCATTTTGACTTTCCCTAAAGCTTTATTGAAATTCTGCATTTTAAATAAGTGTTGTAATCTTTGAAAAACTGATGACTCATGAAGTTGGACATTTGCTTCTGGAAATGCTAAAAATGATGGTGTGGTGGTGATGAGAAAATTGTTGATTATCCTCATGAGGCTACTTTTAAATGTAATATATAATGGTGGATTCGGACGGAAGTGGATTTCTGGACTCAGGAAAAACTCAATTGAACTGTGCTCAACTGAACATCTTGTGACTGCAAAGGGTTGCAGTTGAAATAAAATGTGATTGTGTCCTGTGATGAGAAAAACAACACTTTAATCTCGTGGAATTCAAAACGCCACGTTGGCGCCAGAAAGATGGTGGTGCAGCTGAGTGGAGGATTGTTTATCTTTTTCAAAATGAAAGGTCTTTATTAGCAGCAGCTTCTGTAGAAATGTCTGGCAGAAGCACCTTTTTAAGATATGCTGTAAAATAAACAGGATGCACGTATAATCAAAGCATCTTTTGGACTGACAAAACGATTTGAATTCAAGGTCAACTTTCTATATATATCAACAGCATCTTCAGGAACTTAAAAATGAAGTGGTCTCCAAGCATTTATGGAGGTTGTGATGATGGAAACTTAAAACAAAGAGAGAAGGGAAACCTTGGATTGAGATTATTTTGTCAAACAACACAAACAACTATTCACACCTTAACGCTGCTTCTCTATGAGCGTAGCTTTCTGCTCTGTACCACACATATCAACACATTGTATCTTCCTGATGAACAGAACCATGCAGCTGTTATAATGAATAATGTGCACTCTTCTGACTGTTGATCAAATTAAAGTATTGGACCGTACATATTTCCCATATCTTTTTCTGATATACTTATTTTCTGTCTATTAATAATTGAACGGAGGAAAAAACGACCTGAGCACTGAACAAAATCTATTGTCTCGCTTGAATTCACTCTGTCAACGTTTGATTTATTCTACTGGAATGGGAGGAAAAGGAAGTGATATGTCACTGACAGGACGTCTACTGTTGGGGGGGAACTGCCTGTAAACTCCTGCCACATTATTTCCACTGGAGAGTTAGAAAATGTTAATTCTTTGATTAATAAATCTGTTCCTTGTAGCTTAATGGACAGCATGCTGCAGCTCTTTCACTGCGATGGACCTTTTCATACTGGCTTCAAATGATCAGATCCTGAATCAGCATAATTTACACGCTCAGTTATTTATTTTGGTTTTTATGAGCTGAAATCTGACCGTGAAGCTCCACCTTTTGATTTTACACAGATGTCTGCTTATTGTGGAGAAATATCAATTTGCTTTAAAGGCTCTGAAATATAGCCTGTATTTTCCTGCATTGATGCACTGTGTACTGTGTTCATATTTAAGAATGTAAAACTTAAAAGATATTGGCAACCATGTAGAGGTCTACAACAAAGCCCATCCTCTTCTCCACAGCAGTCTGTTTTCTGTCATGCAGTGAATAATGGGCTCTGTGTCTCAGCCTGCTTTGGCTTCCCAGCAACAAGAGCACAATCGCGATGTTGATAAAATAATCAGAAGGGAACATTTGAAACAAAGTGTCCCGAGAGACTCAAACATATGATTACATTCAGAAAAATTAGTCACTTAAAATCCTCTTCTGTATGTTGTTAATGAGCTAGAAACTGTGTTGGGATATTTTACTGAAATAAAAATAGCATTGCCACGGTTTAAAAATACTCTCATAAACAATTAGTTACATAGCCCTGAGAGGCAAGTTAACAAAAACCTTCTGGTGGATTTCTGTACTTTTTGTATGACTGAAGAACAAGTGAAGAACAGGTAAAGAAAAGGTTTGCCAAGTCCTTTTTAATTCATATGTGAAAAACCGTGAAAACACATTTAGAAGAAAGCTTGGAGAAATCAAAATCACCAACATGGGATATAGTTCAATTCTGCCACATGTGGACAAAATAAGTATTACACACAGAATATCTGTAATGACTGTTAAATAAACAACTTAATACATAATAAACAACATTTTAAACAAACAATATTTTCAATTAACTTTTACCATATGTTCATTGATTTACAATGGTACATAAACATGCATCATTTTACATATGAATTCATTACGGCACGGCTTTATCTTTTAAAAATGTCCATATTTAATAGCATGTTGAAAGTGAAACTCAATTGTTTTCAACCTTGAAATGTTCTATCGTAATATTTTGCGTAAATATCACCTAAATACTGGGATTTTTAAAGGCACCAATATCATTTTTCTTGTAATTTGGTGTTTCTGGCAATTCTATACTTTATACAAAAATATAAGTCTTACAGCTGAGTTTGTGCTAAGAATTCACGCATGTGGAGTGAAGACATAAAAACAAACGTTAAATAATCCAGTCTCCAGAGGGTTAACGCTTACAATGAATGAAGATAATAATATTATGGTTTATTTGTCTTGCACCAAATTGCTTTACAACACTTAAACAAAAAGAATAACATATAAGATAGTGATTTAAAAAGATAATACTTATGTAGTAAGCCAGAACACACTGAATATGTGTTTTGCCCTGCAAGAACTAGTTGTAAAACACGTCTTATTCCTGAAGAAGCTCACAAATTCTCCAAATCTCACACACACTAACCAAAAAAACACACTCTCGTCCCATTCTCTACGATGGTGATCCTCTCACATGCTTCTCCAGCCTGGCAGAGCTCTCTGTTGTTGATCGATGCAGTGGAGGCCTGCAGAGCTGCACCTATAGAGAGGGAGATCCTCTCACTTTCTGTAAGCTGCAGGATGGAGGTCGGAGGTCACTCAGATATTTCCTCCTGCATCTTGTGATATTATTTTGTCCGTTGCTGTGGCTGTTTTGCATGACTTAAGGCAGCTGAGTCACACTGAAAATAGTGATGTCTCTTTCTCTGTGACCTTTTCTCCCTCTAAAAACGAAACGTTCTTTGTTTTTAGAATGTATGCTATTTGTTTGTCTTTTTTTTTTATCACATATGGATGACTGAGTCATAGTGTTTCTCTTTCCACTGAAGAAGGGCGGTACCGCCTGGAAAAGCTAGAGAATTTACTGTGGATAGAGATCAAAGGAGATTTGTACCATGTTAATCAGTTTATGGGAATCAGGCAGTTGTTTTAACTTATCTTTTCCACTATTTAGAAGTAATCAATTAATGGGGGGGGGGGGCTCTGGTTTATTGCCAAGTAGTTTTTCACTTACAAGGAATTTGTTTTTCTGAATAAAGTAGACATAGTAAGAGGAAAGGAAATAATTCAAGACACATAAAGAACAGACGAAAATGAGAAAGGACAAAATATGTCGGAATTTAAATGAAAGCTGCAGTTGTAAAGCTGCTATAAATAAAGACAATATGTATAGAAATGCTAAATATTTAGCTGAATTCAAACAAAAGAGCTGTGCATTTTTATTTGGAATGGTATCTATATGTAAAAGTTTGCAAAACTGTCCAAGGAATGGGAGAACGTTCACATATGAGGTAGAAATATGCACAGAAATATAGTGAAGAGATCAATGTTAAGCATATAGAAAGTAAACTAAGTCTCTGTTTGCATTCAGCGTTACTCACCTAAATGCAGTTTGTGAATCCTTGGGGCCTGACAGACCTGCTGAGTAAATTCCCCTCCTTTTTTGTGAATCAAAATATTTTAATGTTTTTCTTTTTTTCGAACAGGACAGACAACCCATCAGATACATCATGTGGCAGCATAAGAGAGACAGGACACATGCAATACAACCAAGAATAGACAATTATACATCTGAGCAGTGGAAAACACTTACAAAGTATGATCCTGGTTGGTAAACACAGCATGTAGAGAAAACACTTAACTGGTGGATGAAAAGGTAGTTGAGTGTCACAAGCAGGTGTAAATGATTCCTGGGGATCTGAGCCAAATACGCAGAGGTTCCAAGATCCTTTAAAGAAGGGGAAGTAATTTGACCTCTTAGTATACTTCCTCACCTGGTTGGTCTAAAAGAACCACACCTGACGTGTGGTGTAATCGCCTACCACTCTGAATGATCTCTCTCCTCAGCTTTAGGGATGTCTGCCTACGCTGCAAGGAGGACTTTGAGAGGGAGACAATCACCTAAAATAGGCTTGGGCAGAATGGGATGTCTGGTTTAAGGATCAGTTTGATAATCTCATGTGGGACCACAACATACGCAGGAGTGGACCAAAGCTCTCCCTTAAGTAATCTTGAGGGAGACCAGTATACCTTGTTTATTATTTTGAACTGCACTGACCTTGTTCCTTTCATTTTTTTCAGTCCGTACATTTAATAACATTAGAACAATATAATAAATTCAACTAGTGCAATAAGCTTCAGGCTACATATTTTTGATCAGTCTACTTTGTTGTCTTGCTATTTAAAAAAAAAATGTTGTATTGTTGTTTAGTCTTGCTCGATTGCCACCTTTAAATCCGTGGAAGCTTGTTAAACCGTCGGCATACATGTTTATCTTGTCACCCACATGCATGTTTGTCCTTTTGCATGATAACAGACAAAAGGCTGCTCAAAACTCACAGAAACACTTGCACCAGGGTGCTACTAAAGGTCAGAAGCTCCGTAGAGTACCTTTAAAGTGGAAACAGACAACTTCCCCCCCAAGCTGAGCTGTCTCGATGACAACCAGAACCTTTTTTGTTTTGCTGGATGAGGAGAGAAATCTTAGTGAAAGCGAGTCTTATAGGGAATTTGAACACATAAAGTAATATTATTCTATAGTCATCACAGCAATACATTTCCCAATTGCCACTTTAATGCAATACAGGTTATCAAATAGTGAATTTAAATTTTCTCTCCACAAGTACATTTTGTACTCCTGGCAGATGATGGCAGAAATGCTTTGACACAGACTTTATAATTAACATAATTCAATAGCAAACTAAACAAAATAAAGATTGTTTTAATCAAAATGATGTTAAGTATATGTGGGGACCTGCACTTTAGTATTACTTTCATTACAGCATTGTTTCAGCATATTGAAACTGGTGAAATGTTGCACGAATGTTTTCAGCCAAGCCCCCTGAGCTCTGCTCCTATTGGCCCAGCACCGTACCACGTGGTCGGGTAGTCACGCGTTTTCCAGGAACCCGTCAGGAAGAAGAAAAACAAAACAAACCCGAGAGAGAACTGTAGCAGCGTGTGGACTCCATTGAAAAATACGGCCTTGTTATTTCCAACAGAGCAACACACAAGAGAACCGACACCTTGCGAGATGTATGCGTGGGCGCCTTAAAAGTGGGTAAGAGTGTTATTCTGCCGTTTTAGAGGAAGTTCGCCGAGCAGATATGTGTTTTCTCTGCGGTGCAGGATTAGCTGTGAAGCTAACGACAGGCTGTTGTTGTGTGTGCAGCTGCATGAGGAAGGGGGCGGACGGAGGCCATACTGAGTGAGAGGTGCATGGAGAAAAGCAAGCAAGATTTGTCAGTTTTCGCATTTAAAAGAAAACTGTTTAGGGCAAGATATACAATTAATGTGTATTTTAGTGAATTAAGGGTTCTGCAGGAATTGTCTACGCACAGAATGCAGCTGACGCAGGCTTCAAAACGAGTCTTAGCGCTAAATGTAAAAAAATGAAGGTCCCGCAGATTTTGTTGATATTGTTTTCGTCATTTAATTAGTCAGTTTTTTTCTATCACGTTGTAACATGACATATGGTTCAAACCTACACTTCTTTAAAAAGATTTTTCTCGACTTTTAAGCTATTCAAAGAATGCCACACCTCTTCCAATATTTATTTCCTCTTAATTCAATTCGGTTTTTTTTTGGCAATGATATTTTAGTCGGTCAAAAACACAATTGAACTGTGTTTGGGGTAGAATACCTCTGTGCAATGCCAAACAGAAGTATTTTAAGGACAGCACGAGCTCTCTGTGAGGTACACGCCCCCCCCCAACACATGACACAGCCATTGGTGCTGAAAAAAGAGGCTCGACACAGCCAGAAATTTCCATGAGATGTAATTTAGAAATACAGTTGAATCAATCTTATGTCTCCACTGGTGAAATAAACTAAGTATCAATATCTATATGATGTTCGTTTGTTTGGTTTTCCACCAAAACATAGTTTTATAATTGTATCTACGGACTTCGGCAGTTTCATGTTATGTATGAAAGTCACGGATTCACGTATGGTGTTGTGTTCGAGTTCTTTGATAGTACTTTGTAGATTTGACGTTAAATATCTCTTTTAATAAAGCTATCTAGGCCACGGGCATGTAGGCCTCCAACTTGTTTATCTTCTGCCTCAACCTAGATTGAAAAGGGCTGATTAAAATGAAGGAGCTGCCGTGATTGACAGTCGTAGCGACCATTCTGGAACGCCTGGAGGCGGGACCTTGTCTCCGCTTGACCAATAGGAATGAAGGATTACGTGGGTGTCGCTGCACTGCGTTAGATTGAGATTTGTTTTGCTTTCCTGAGGATCTGTTTTGAGTGCAGAGCCTGTGGATGATCTGGTAGCATTTATGTCTTTTTTGGCGTTTATAATTGCTTATTTGGTATTTAAAACTACCTGTTGGATGGGGATTGTGAGGATGTCGATATGTAGAAGTGTGTGCTGTCAGGCTCTGTTTTTCAAAGCAATTGAATCCATCACGTAGATAGTCTGGGATGTCATTTTGTGATGATCTTTTATATTTTTCATTTGAACTACTGTTTCTTACCTTTTTTTTCTACTGGCACAGTGGTTGTTTATACGGAATTGTTAATCTGAAAGCACTATTGCTTTTATATGCATTTACTGTGTTTGTACTAAAGCTGGTCATCCATAACTATCATCTTTGTTTCAGTGTGGGATAAATATTTGTATACCATCAACATTGGCTGGTACACTGCATATCTCAAATCATCTCATGCATCAAATTCAAGGTATTTTTCCCATTATTTTCTTTACCCAAGTGCTAGTTGTTACTATTATTTTCAAGATTAATTTGCAACCATGTTCATGTATGGTTACAGTAGATGATTCAAAATTTAAGAGATTACAGAAGGAGACATTTTGAATCTTAGAGAAATAATATTAAAAAAAAACTTGAACTGCTTGTTTATGAAAAGTAAATGTTCAAATAATTTCTAAGACACTGATATATTTTCAGTAAACTTGAAATCACGTCAGACTTCCTCATAACTAGTAAAATATTTCTTGTACTTTTACTTCCTTAACTCTGTATCATCAGTATTCCTAATTGAATGAGATGAATCGACCTTGTTCACAGTAAACATTTGGTATGACCACTCACTGTTGGACCCACTGGCTTAAAGTAATCCGTCTGGAGGTGTGCATTATTTGTGTAACAGAGCTGCAGAGGACTATAACTAGACATATGATCAAAGAATAAAATTCAATTGTGACATAAGCCTGAAGATTGCTTCTCAATGCTGATTGTTTTGTATATGCTGAACTATTTAACTGAATTGAGTATCATTGACTTAATCAAAAACACAATGAATTTACCCATCAAAGTTTGTTTAGTAAGTATTTTTAAATGCAGACCTGGATGCAGCCCAAAATAGCTACAGCAGCAATGACTTGGCTGTCTTAAAGAGCTGCAGTACTATGGTGCAAGGGCCGCTTGGTGAACTGAAGAAAGAATTTGCACTCATAGTGCATCTTGGTGAATGAGTTGGCTGTTCTCACTAGCGTTGACCTCCAACCATAAATCTATCCAATTCATCTGCCAAGAAGAGCTTGGAGATACAACTGTAAACACTATCATGATATGAACAAAAGATTTCTAAAGGCCCAGATACACCGGCCAGTCACTTGAGAAGTCGCCGACTGTTGCGTCGCCGGACTCTCCTGCGTATTTGCCGACTTCGCGCACTGGAACACACCGCAAATCCGAGCCGAGCACGTATGAACTGCGCATGCGTGAGTGGCAATAACTCTCCTTACCAGCAGGCGGCGGTAGTGTGTATTCATCATTCAAAAGAGGCAACAACCGGAAGACAGAGAAGAAGAACAGACTCCGTGATATAAACAAACAACAAATAGCGTTTTTCTTTCCATTTTCACTCTCGTCCATTGAAAACATGAACGAACAGGAGCAGGACGAACGGGAGGTACTGGAGCTAGCAGCCCCTTAGACTCACGCTTGTGTTAAATCATTTGTTTACCTCCCTCACTTCCGTTAACGCTTCTCATGCACTGATTCGCTAGCTGAACAGCCAATCAGTGTTATCCCTTTGCCCGACTTCCGGTGGTGTTCTCGACGCCGGCGTCAGGTCGGCTGAAAAGACCCGACGGTGCGGCGCACACCACTCCGAATAGGGCGTGCCCACGCTCATGTTCAGCCTGAATCCCATTTACTGCCAATTTCGGGCCGGTGTATCTGGGCCTTAACATGACAGGATAAAAGGGTAACTGGTGGCACGCCCCCTCGCCTCTGGCGCCCCGCTCGGGGACGGGCGGCGTCTGCCCGCCTTAGACTGTGACGTCACGACACCCGCGAGGAGGCGGACGGGACACCGCCCACCTGCGCCGACAACGCCGACGACGACGCCGACGACGACGCGACGACGCCCGCAACCAACGCCGACACTGACGGGTCGTCCGACCTCGGTCGGATCGCACGACCTCGGTCGATTGCACGCCGCCTACAAGCAGGCGGACAAGACGTCGGCGGAAGTACCTGAGGTGGTACCGCACCTTCACCCCAGGCTTGTCGGGCAGGCCCGATTAGCCGTCGCAGGTCATCATGTAAGGACCGGCAGAGACTTGTCCTACGGACGACGTCGGTCTTCCCCGCCACTTAGACGCAGTGGGTGTGTCGCTAGAACGGACCTCTAGTCGTTGCCTGCGCGTGTCGCCTCGCGGCACGACCACCAGTGGTTAAGTGCTCAGGTTTCAGGTTCAGGCTCAGTGGTTCCCTCTCAGCATCAGCTCCATTGCTCAGGTTTCAGGCACAGTGGGTTCCTCACAAGGCTCAGCTCAGGCTCAGTAGGTAATTGGCACACACAAGCTCCAGGCTCAGGTTCAGGTTCAGGCTCGTGGGGTTCCTCGACCGGCTTCAGTCTCAGGCTCAGTTAGTAATGGATACAAGTCAGGATCAGGTTCAGGCTCAGTGGATTCTTCTCAGGGTTGAGTTCAGGGCTCAGTGTTCAGAAGTCATTAATTGGAAGGCACTATTAATACACCAACTTTACATCGACCGAGGNAGCTGAACAGCCAATCAGTGTTATCCCTTTGCCCGACTTCCGGTGGTGTTCTCGACGCCGGCGTCAGGTCGGCAGAAAAGACCCGACGTGTCTGCGCACACCACTCCGAATAGGGCGTGCCCACGCTCATGTTCGGCCTGACTCCCATTTACTGCCGATTTCGGGCCGGTGTATCTGGGCCTTAATGGTATATACGAACCCTTTTCTATAAGTCACAACTTAAGTAACACATTTTAATTTTAGAACTATAAATACCTTGTTGATTTTAAGTTGATACACAATCGATACATAGTGAATAATATTTAACTAGCCCTACTTTTCTCGCTTGCATGTATTTGCTTACTTACGGGCCAGTTGTACTTGTCAAATAACTGGCCTGAAAAATTATCTTAAAAAAATCCCCAACCTTGAAGCACAATTGGCTGTTAGTGAACATCCATTGTTCAAATCTTTTGGACTCGTGATTAATGGTTCTTCGTGATTTTTTTCAGAACTTCTCTCACAATAAGCAATCTGTTTGCTATTTTGCAAGATATCTGGGAGCGACTGGTATCAGTAGGAAACTCGTTCCAGCTAAGACTCGGCTGATTGGCCTACTTGGATCGAGTCCAATGTTTTGAGGCGGAGAATGAGAGCTGTTTGCATGATAGTGAAGCTTTCAGCACACTACACTCCTCTTTTTGTTCAGACCTGAAGCAACATGGAAGAGAGGAAACATTTAGCAACAGATGTTGAAAATATGATTATTTGTTGTGATTTTTTTACCAGACCTGATTGTGTATAAAATATTTAACAATATTGATGACTGGGAAATTATGTTTTCTTCATTCAATTAGACCTCAAGCCAATAATTACTTTCATTAAAGATTCATCTATTGATTTAGTTATTTAATAAAATGCTTGTGTAGCAAACTACCAAAAACCCACATTTATAAAAGTATGAAGCTTCACATCTCTCAGTTTTTAGATGTAACCAGCTGTAAGTATTTTGCTCTAACTGATGAACTGTGAACCATTTAATTGTCAACATTGTATTACAGTTTACTTTCCGTCACTGGATTCATTCGTTAATCCTATAACAGGCATGGTGAAACACATTTTATTTTATCTGTCAGATAATGCTGCTACCCCAGCTGATGCTGTAAAAAAAGCCATTGTCCGTGTCTTGATCTAATTGTAAACAGCAGCCGGTGTGAACCTGACATTGATTCAGCAAACTGCACATTTGTAGGAAACATGATACTGCAAAGAAATCTGTCCTTTTGAGAAACTTTGGCCTCGAAAGTTGATCTATCCTGAAAAATAGGCCTGGAGGAAATCTGAAATGTTGAACTCTGACAAAAGCTGCAGCTAATCATTAAGTTCATTATGTATTCATCTGCTGATTACTTTCTAGATTACCTTTTTGCTTTAATGCAGGAGCCCTCAACATTTGAGATAAACAGCATTTACAGCCATTATCCCATCAACAATAGTCTCATATGTGAGTAGCCGACTAATCATCATTGAAGCTGTACTTTGACATAAGCCCACCTTTTTAAACCTTGACCCTAACCCTTTATATATATACAGTCTATGCTCTAACCCAAGTAAAGTCCCTTAAGTAAAATAACTCAAATGAAAGATGTACTGCCGGCAGTTTTCATCACCAAAGTAAATCAGACCAAAGCCTGAGAGAGACATTCAGCTCCTGTCTTTCAGGGGGCTGTCGTGCTCGGTCATAAATATATTGCTCCACATTGCAGCCTGTGTTTGCCACTAAGCAGTGAGCTGGATTATATGAAATCATGCTGCTGCAAAGTATTCAGTGCAGCTTTGCCTGGAGAGGTGAGGAGCGTTTGCGACTTGTTTTCTGCATGTTTGTACGATCACTGTTTGTCCAGCCTTCTGCTGCCTCTGTGATAGGAAAGAGTCTGGATCAATGCTGGCGTTCACTGTTGTGATCGGGCCATATGTTTCCTCATTCTGCTTCTGATACTAGTACACCAGACACAGCTGCCCTGGTGGGAAGTGGAAATTGAAAAAGCACGATAATGATCACAATTTGTAGTTCAGAGGCTGAGATTTAAAATATACTTCTGGTCCTATACTCATGTATAAGAGAGTTATACATGAGTGCTTTTATGTGCTTTGGTGTTTGATAAGGTGTTGCTTTTACAAACACGCTTGTACTCTTCCTGTACCAACGTGTTTTCTGACACTTCCTGTCTCTATGCAAAATGTGTTCTCACACATGGGGGACAGATCTCAGGGGTGAGAAGTTCATCTGAGTCAGTCAGCACCCAATGAGAGGAAGTGATGTTGTCCCCTCGGCCTCGGAGGAGTGGGATTGGTGTACGGTTGTGTGTCAGCTGTTCACTGCAGGGGTCATGTCTCCATGCAGATTCTCATTTATTTGCTATGCAAAGCAGCAAAAAGGCACAGAGAAAAGATCAGTCCAAGCGTTGCAGTCAGTAGGAGGTGCAGGAAAGTGAGAGGATGAGAAACAAGCAGAGAATCAGAGGAGGGTCCAAGTGATGGTAAAGCATAACGCAAACAAATCCGATGTTCTCTAAAGGAATGTTGAGAGGCAGTTTGGTTCAGATAGGTCGGTGCTTTCCGAACATGTAATGGGGGCGGGGACTGGCGTTCACACCAAATTTCTCAGAGGCTTATTCTCTCAACAACTTCCGGCAGCTGCTGGGTAGACAGAGAGCTCCTGTTACCTGCGCTTGCAAGTTCGGTCTGTTGATTAGACGAAGAGACAAGGAAGAGTAAATCCGGACCAATATTAACAGATTCGTTAATGCCATACACCCCATCTCTGCCTTTGCACCATGAACAGTTCTAAAGAGACTAACTTTATTCCATACCTGAAAATGTCAGTTGATTAATCAGTTAACCAGCAACAATTTATCATCTGTTGCTGAAATCGTTGTACTCGCATAATTGTGAATATTGGTTGCTTGATGCTGTTCTATATCATTGCAAACTCAATATATTTGGTTTATGGAATGTTGGTTGGGAATAACAAGACATTTGAAGACGTCATTTGGGGGTCTCTGGAACATTTGTTCGAGCTTTTCTGAAATGTTGTAGACATATGACGTATAGCTTAATCAATAACAATTTGTCAATATCCCTACGATCTACCTAAGTTAAACGTGAGCCAGCCCCTTAGTCAAGCCCAAAGATAGCTTGCTAACCCAGGCCTCATCGTACAGGCCCCAGGTCAGTAGTGTATTTGCGTCGGTGAACGCAGTAGTCGACGGGAGGGACAGGAAAGATGAGATTACGATAGCTCGGCTCGGTGCTGTGTTGACTTTAGGTCCAGCTCTAGAGATGGAGGCAGAGAGCCCAGCCTCCTATCCAGCTGTTATCACTAGAGAGGGGGGGCCCAGAGGCAACCGTTTTGCATTCTTAGCAGCACTGGGACAAGATTATCCTTTATGTCTTCCTCTAAAGATACAGAACCTGTTTATGTGACAAACACAGGCCTGGCTGTTTCATTGCTTAGTAGACTTTAATGTGAAGAAGAGCGTATGTTTTCAAAAACCAAAAGGGGAATTCTATCTAGTTTCACTTGCGCTCACTCTGCAAAAGTGACTAGTTAACATCTGCAGTCCATAGGGGCGGCAATGAATTAGCTTTGTTGAACTGTGAGATAGTGAAACCCTTCATTTTCATTTAAGAGAGGGTGAGATGTACCCCTCGCTGTTGTGTTATTGCCTGTTTATGCCCTTGTTTATGCAGCTGCATGGCGAGACAGCAGAGAGGGAGAAGTTTTGCATAGCTGGCAGTGAATGGAAAGACAGTGTTAATAAATAATGGCAATTAAGTGTTTATTGAAAATGGTTTATATTGTTAGCCCGCTACCTCCTACAGCTTATTTTTGCAACCATACCTATTTGCTGCCCCAGCTGCATTTCCATGAACATTGGCCCTTCAATAGTGTTATATTTGTCAGTTAGTTTATAGATGTTTTTATCTTCACAATCTACTGTATATTTTCTACTCTCTAATGCCGGTTTATTTCTATTTTGAGATGTTTCTACTCTTTTTTTAAAATTTCTAATTATGTGCAATGCCTTGGGTTGTTAAATCAGCCACAAAAAAAAATCAACTTAATAGAAGAAATTCTATACGTGTAGCACATTTTTGCAAACCACAAATCAAAAAAACTGGCTGACTGAGTTGTTGCTACCATTTACATTTACTTGACTGGTTGTAGTAGTTCTCACCGTGTAATTCAGAGAGGCAAAAATGATTATCCCTAAAAATGACTTTCTATGCTAGAAAATGCACATAAACAAATAAGAGTTGAATCTCGCTCAACTGTCCCTTCCAGGTCTCTTTAAGTCAAGATGGTGAGGAAAACAGGGAATTTAGTCTCATATTGTACCTAACTTTAGTGGATCATAATATATTGTTTATGTCTTCTGGTTCAAAAATCAACCAAACCTTTCTGTGCATGTCAATTTCTGAGACACAACACAGGCCATAATCTGCCCTGACTTTTAGCCCGCCATAGATATTGAGGGTGCGGGTGTGATAAATAATCTCCATCAAATCCAGTTTAGCCATTTCAAGTCTGTAGGCCTATTGCAGTTTGGTGGGAAACAAATAAACTCTTCAGCTGTGTTGGAAATGTACCTGCATGTTACCCAGGGCTCGAGCTTAAGGATGTCCCGTTGTCCCGGGGCCGAAAAAAATAGTGTCGGGGAGGATAAAAAATAATCTTGGGACGAATTTGGGACGAGAGTTAAAATAAAAATACCCTGCTAACTCTACTACAAACGGCGATGAAAATGAAACCGACTGCACGTTTTGTGTAGCACACAGTTATTAAACCTCCTTGTCAACATAAACGCACAAAACATTTAGCAACCCGCAAAATACACACACACACACACACACACAGTACGTAGCTACAGCTGTGCCGCTGGCTGTCACCCAACTGCACAGCTGGCTGTGCCCGCGAATTCCTGGCCCGCAAATTTGCGGGTCTAGCTACAGTATGTACTGAGTGTGTGTATTTCGCGGGTTTACCGTTACATCACAAAAACGCACAGCAGAACCAGACCCTGGAGCTCCGGCCTCTTTATTTACTTACTCCTCTTCATCCCCTATGGGTAATAAGGCTGAGATGAGAACCCTCCATCGTATTTAGTCCTTAGCAATATGCTGCGCCTCTCCCCATGTATGGATGGGTACCGAGCCCCGGTATTAAACGGGCTCCGCCCGGGTCGGAATTATTAAAGACAGTGGTAACGTTAAGCTCCGACGTTATCTGACTTTTTATCGGTACTGGAGACATTAAAAAATATGTCATATGTACTTATTGGCTGACATAAACATTATATCGCAGTTTTTAGTTTAGCCAACTCCGTTTCTAATATGCATAAGACAACAACATGCGTCTATGATGTATTTCTCGAGCTTCCAATCACACGAGATCTCTCTCTCCCGTCTGTTGGTCGTGCGAGGGCGGGGCAGTGTTGTAAAGGTCTCCTACTGTATTACAGACTGGTCATCCCTGGTTAGTGGTTACTCTGGGTTCTGTCTTCAGGGAAAGAGTGTGTGATTTTTTTTGTTAATTGGATGGGACTCGATTTTGATTCAATATTAGAGAGTAATTTTCTCGTTTGTGTGTTTGTTTAAATAATATTTGGCCTTTGTTCATGTGATTGACTGATTTACTCGAATAAAAAGGTTTATGAATTATCATCTAATGATTTGATATGATGTTTTATTTATGTTAAAAGGTCATCTTTGAATGATTTTACTAACCTATGATAGTGTAGAAAAAACTAATTTTAAATTGGCGACGGTCCACATTAATTTCGGGACGGCTTAGATTGTGTTTTTCGGCACGGTTTCCGCGTGAGGATGGCTGAAAAAAGGTTAGTCGAGAGCCCTGATGTTACTGTTGACTTATCTATTTGGTCGATTCTTATACCTCTGCTCTGTCTACTCTCTGTTTTTTAACCACAGACCTCAAGCATACAGAGAACAGCCAGATCACAAGAAAACAGACCAGACCAGGCCCAAATACTGACATCCCCCCTTTTCCTCTTTCCCCGCAGCCTTGCAGGCTGCATCCACAACATCTTGCCTTTTAGCAGCTAAATTTACTGTGCTAATCCAACAACCTCATAACACTGGGACTGGGACAGAAGAGCCCAGAGATTCCCCCAGCTAAAGCTTCTTAGCTTTGCCTGGCAATGCCACAGGTAGAGGCACCAAACAGCAAAGAGGGTTTTGGTGCCTGATTACTTTTTATTTATTTATTTAGTGTTTATTTATTTATTGTTGTGTTGCAGCCCAGCATCATTGGGATGGAGCGCTCCCTTTTGCTGACGGCATTTCAGAACTACTCTTTTGCTGACCAGCCCTCACCAGCACCGACCTGCTTTGCTTCCAACTCTGACCCAGATTTCATGTATGAAACTGGTGAGTGGTTTAAACGCACGCACGCACACAAACACACATACAAACAATTATGAAACTAATATTATAACTTATCTTTAGCTAAAATGCCCTGTGTTCATCAGACTTGGGTCTACCGTCCTTTTAGATCGCTCACAGCTGCTCACGCTGAAGTTGACTCTGAGCTTGCTCATCTGAATGAAGGATCCAGTTTAAAGATCATACCGGTCAAAATCCAATACCCTTTTCTTAAGGCTGGCGTCACACTGTCCCGAAATTGACACCAGATTGACACACGAATATGGAATTGTGAATTTCGCACGAAGATGGGCCCCGAACTTGGTCAACAGCAAGCAACAGCCGAAGCAAGTATACCCGCAGGACACACGAAGGTCTACACGATGGCTACACACATCGTATGAGAGTACGATGCGTTCGAACTAGGTCACGGAGCGTCACGTGACCTCCCGATGGTATTTACCATAATATGTTTACACGATTTTGTTGTGCATAAACAAACCAGAGAAGTGATCTGCAAGGAAACATAGCACACCGTGTCCTCATGCTCCTGTTTCACCTGCTTAATACAGGTACCATCACTTCTACTGATTTCGATTGAGGCAGTCCAAATAGCAAGGAAATGACAAAGTGTAAGAGGAGGTGCTGGGCCTGTAAGAGGTTGCTCCATGTTCTCTGAGGTGCATTTTCCTGGTTGTCTCATCATCAAAGTCAGCCATTCTGCAGGAACTGAATTGTGATTAATTGTGATTGCAGCTTTGGGAGTTACACACGCCTCTGCTCTGTAGAGTTGCTCAGAACTGACTGAGGAAGATGCTCTGAGGCTGGCCACGTTACCATGACACATGGGAAACGCTTGAGCTACTCAAATTCAGCTGTCTTCGCTAACACCGTGGTCCCATCTCGATGTCATCGTACTATAATGGCTACACGACGGCATTGCGAGGGCTTCACGTAGTCGTGTTGCCTTCCTAAGACAATCGGGCGGCTTCTTGTTTCCTTTGTATTGTCTTCGTGAGGCGAGAAATGCCCGATGGCACCGATGATCACACGAAGTAAAGACGAAGATGACACGATTTGACAAGATGCCCTCACGATGGCCTTACAAAGGGAAAAAATGGACACACAAATTCAACACGAAAATAAACCTTCGCAAGGTCTTTCGGCAAAGATTTTGCCACCGCTCACGAAGTTGCTGCCGGAGCCTGAGAAACTCCACCGGCGGTCATACGACGGCTTAAGATGCCCTCACGTATGGCCCGATGTTGTTACGATCAGAGCCGAAGTTGAACATTTCCTTTATCGTGTGTCCATCTGGTGTCAATTTCGGGACAGTGTGACGCGGGCTTAAAGAAGCGACTAAAATGCAGCAATAAGAAATATAGAGGAGATACCAGACACCTTCTCGGTAATTCTAACTGGAATCTCTGTAGTTCGAGGTTAAGATTAACGTCTACGTTCCTGCCTTTTACTGTGAAACACCAGTTGAAAATGTGGTAAGTATACTACAAAGTTAGAGAAGCTTTGTTTGAGTTGCTATTTTTGAATATAAACAGGTCTGCACACCAAGATTAGGACATCTTCTTGTTTATTTAGTGAGTAATGATCCGTTTCAAATACTGCAGGGAAGAGGTAGTAAAAGCAGAAACTACCACAGTTGGATGAAGAGCTGCAGAATCCTAATGGTGTTTTCAAGATTCAGCACACCCCCTACACCTCATTAACAGCTTCTCATACCTTGCTATGCAGTTCAGTGGAAAAACACTCACACCGTTGTCAGCGTGGCTCGAGTGGTCACAGTTACTCCCAGCTCGGCACGTAACCCCACCCGTATAAAAAAAACACGATCAAGTTACATGTTGCACAACAAGCTCCACAGAAACACCAGAGAGAATTCAAAGAAGCGTAAGTCATGCTGTGATGTTTTTTCATTTCATTTAATCGTTTATTTGAACCGGGACAGTGCACATTAATGAACATTTTAAACAAAATAATGCTTTCAAATATAAATGAGCCGGATTTTAGCTTTGAGCTCATTTCCATCCGTAGTCCCGTTTTGTTCATTATAAATAAGGACAAACAAATCCTGCATTTTGCAACATTTAAGTACGTACAAAATGTCTGTGCCTGGTAATCACCGGAAAAAACATGCATATGAACCATTTTGAGAGTAAAGGTAAATGAAGGGTTCATTTATATTATCTTTTAATATGTTAGTGAAGTGCTGGATATTTTTTCAGAGTAAAAACAGGTCTTCTTCACTAATCAATAATATTAAAATACTTTCCCTCGCAGTCATAGTCATGCTAGTGGGGAAAACAGTGGCAACTCTGTGGCATTTAAAACGGAGAGGCTCATGCCTAATTGTTTATCAGCCGTGTGACATTTGCCGGGCTCACAGGTGGCTGATGGGAGACGGCTCCCCTGTCACCCTGTCAGCTGCAGGTGTCTGCTTTAATTTACCATCAGCTGTAGTCAAACAAAAGTGATTCACCCACTCAGTCCATTTCTTGCACCATAGTAAGACGTTACTGTGACGACAGATTTCAAAAGGATCTTTAAATTATCTTCAACCCTCCTGTTAGCTTAGATATGTTAAGATATGGAAAAGAAAGAAAGATTTACAATATAATGGTTAAATCTAAACCCTTCTGACTGAAAACACATGATGACAAGAAGACAGCGATATAAATTCAAAGTGCAATTATCTCTGCCAAATTGTCTTTCTCGCCATGTAGAAAAACTGACACTTCACCAGAGTTTCTTTATATAAAATGACAAACAGTTTAGTTCCTGGAAGATCGGCTGAGAACTGTATATTACTACAATAAACTAAACAAAAGGTTTTTTAACTCACACTGAATTACAAATCCTTTCAAAATAGTGTGTCATTGGTGCAACATTAATTCAAAATGTAATAATCCTAAAATCAATCCTATAATTTCTAATACTCTGCTGTTGCTTGTCATATTTCCAACCCTAGATGCTCTCTAGAAAAAAAAAGGTCTTGCACAATATAAAAATATTATAGATATTTTCAGCAAAACCAATGGTTTGACATGGACACGTCTTTTATAACCTTCGTGCATTGTCAAATTCCCCCAATATTTGATATATATCTTTTTTCTAGAAATGTAAATCGTCTTATTTTCTGTTCTATATTCTGTTACTTTGTTGTTAGTTACTGCAAACACTTCCTTTAAATATAATTTAGATATAAACCGTCTTCTGAGCCACCAGCTGCTGAATCCCTCCATGTTTTCCTCTCTGCAGCAGGACAGAGACGTCACCCACCGACAGAGCCCCTCCAGCGACAGCCCCGGAGTGGGGGGCGATGGGGGGAAGGATGTGGAGGGCTGCGTGGACCAGCTCATGGGTCTGAGCGAGAGCGAGGCGGTCCACAGCAGCTCAGCGTTCGAACAGTGGGACTCCTACTGGGAGGACCTCACCAGGTAATGGATTATTTATTCATATGCTGTGGTTTATATATCGAGTGAAAAGCAGCAGCAAGTAAACATGACATCATTATACAAATGAATTCACTGAAACTCAAATGTCATACTGGTTTTCACATCTCACACATTTTAAAAGTGGATTGCCAACAATTTTGGATTCTACATTTTGTGCCTTTTTGAATAGCATGGTATTGATCGGAAACAGGAGGTTGGGTTAAGGGTCCACGAGACTTGTCTGTTTTTAAAGCTGGAGTGAGGAACTTGCAGGGCCGTCCCTCCCTACACGCAGATCACGCAGACTGCGTGGGGTCTCACCTCGCGGAGGGGGCCTAATCTTGCGGAGGGTGCCTCACCTCACCCGAAGCGCAAATTCTTAAATCCTTCCTTTGGATCCCAAATTGTTTTAGTTTTTTTTAATCTAGAACATCACTTCCAGAAAATGTTATTCTCGCACCGCCAGAGGGGGGATACAAAAATCCCGCACTCAAGCTTTAATGGGCGGCAAGTTACTGGAAATTCCCCAAACCAGCGATGTATTAACCACACAACTTTTGTCTGTTCATCCAAAGCCTGACATTACTATCTATAGCACTTTATTATTGTTTAAAAACTCAAAGATAAGAATGGTCAAAGGTCACAAAACACACATGCTTTTGGCCTGACTGAATTCATATGCTAATTGTGAACATTTTACACATTTGTTTAATAGGATTAAATGATGTCAGTGATGACATTTTGGACAGACATGGATGTAAACTGCATCTTGACTGACAATCTGGTACATTTCAGAAAGAAATGTAGGCAGTGTCAAAACTGTCACTGAAAGATGTTGTGCTTCCTCTGAGCTCTCTTTTGATCACTTTAATGTTTTGACTGCCTTCAGGTTTTAAACACTTATTCTAAAAGGTAAAAATCCTAAACAGATGCAAATTTGCTCTTGATGGTTTTCATTGAGGCACATGTGCATCGATCAGACCTGCAATATACTTTGCTCACATGCTAAATCCATGCAATTGCAATTTTGAATAGTGTATGTTGTGCAGAGGATCTAGGGCTGCAACAAACAATCATTTCGTTTCATTTTAAAGGTTATTTACAATGACAAGACAATAGTAGCTTTCATGTTGTCTGAACTGTGTTGCTCTGTGCTCGGCAGATACACACGGCTGGCCAGCTGTGAGATCTTGGGCAACAAAGAGGCGGATTTCCTTGGATTGGATGACCTCTCTAGTCCCTACCAGGATGAGGATGTGATTGGTCAAACCCCGACCCTGGCTCAGCTCAACAGCGAGGATTCGCAACCTGTGTGTGAGGCGCTCTACCCCCCTGCTGATATGAGTGGCCCTCCACTTCCCGGTCACAGTAGGAGACCCCTGATCGCTGGCCAGGGATTTGGCCCCGGCTCAGCACGGCCGTCCCCCAGCTCCTCTTCCCGTCTTTCCCGCAGCTTTCTCCCAGACTTTCCTGAAACCTCCCAAAAAGCCACCAGACCCGTCCCCTCCTGCACCGAGACCATGGCCAAGACCCAGACCCTCCTCAGCCTCACCCAGGACTACGGCCATGCGCAAACCAAGCCTTACGGCAGAGGAACCAAGATGGCAGCCCCGATGGACTTTGTGCGGAAGGCTAAAGTCCGTGTGAGTGCCGGGCTTAAAACTCAGCCCGACATGCCCTCCCAGATGGCCTTTGAGAGGTCAATCCCACCTCCACCGCTCCCCCAGTCCCACGACGGGAAGGCCGGCCCCTCAGCGAGCGCCACCTTGGTGGTAGTTCCTGCTGCTGCAGACAGTGGCTTTGGCAGCCAGATGATCTATGAGAGGGCTGCAGAGGGTGGAGGGAAGAGTGAGGTTCCTGTAGATTGGTCTGCCAGCGTCCCCACCCTGGTCGAGGCCAGTCCGGCCATGGAGGGCAGCACCTCTGAGCAGGTCAGCGGAGAGGTGGAGGCAGGAGCTAGTGGGGGTGCTCTGGATAAAGAGGCAACTGAGAAGAGTAAGGAGGAAGAGCACAACTACTCTCTGTTCCTCACCCGCTGCAGACTGGCCAGCAGAAGCCAGTCCGTGCTGGAAGAGGACGAGGAAGAGGAGGAGGAAGACGAGGAAGAGGCGGAGGAGGAGGAAGCCGATGGGCTTGAGATGGATGACGAAGACCACGATGAGGGTTTCGGCAGCGAGCACGAGCTGTCTGAGATGGAGGAGGAGGAGGACGACGATGAAGAGGAGGATGAAGACTACGAAGCTGACAAGGACGAAGACATGAGTGACGCCTTCTCCGAGCCAGGTAGCAACCTTCATGCTTCCGGTGTTGCCAACAAACTGTCACTGTCAACAAACCGTCACTGTCAACAAACCGTCATTGTTACCTTTCTGTGTTTCTTCCTCATGACTTTTCTTTCTCTGTCCCCCCCCCCGGCTCCGATGTCTTGTTTTCTCCAGGTTGTGAAATGGAGCTAATGGACGACATTAGAGGTCTGACGACGGGGGTCACCACCCGGAAGAGAGGCAAGCGTCGCTACTTCTGGGAGTACAGCGAGCAGCTCACCCCCTCCAAGCACGAACGCATGCTCAAGCCGTCTGAGTGGGACAGACACACGCTGCCTAGCAACCTGTACCAGAAGAACGGGCCTCTCCATGGTAAACACACAGACACGTACGGTACATATATACTGTATATTAACCACGGTGGGAGATAAGCCCTGCACCAAAAAAAGAGCTTATTAGATAAAACAATATATATCACTGCTTTGATCACGGACTAAACATATATCATATTTGCGTCTTGTAGAGACTGTAGGGCAAGTACAGTCTTTGGGAGTTTATATTTTCCACAACAGCAGCTGTGCACAGCATGCTGCAGTGATATGGCAATCAAAGTGATCTTACTAGAAATATTGAACAGATAAAAGGAGCATATAATAATTTCTAACTTAAACGACATATGATGTAAATCATCTGATAATCCTTCTTTCCAAATAAAGGAAAGTACATGCTGAAGAAGTCTCGCCGCACGGACGTGGAAGACCTGACTCCCAATCCACGGAAGCTGCTGCAGATCGGGACCGAGCTCCGCAAACTGAACAAGGTGATCAGCGACCTGACCCCCGTGAGCGAGCTGCCGCTGACCGCACGACCTCGGTCACGCAAGGAGAAGAACAAGCTGGCCTCCAGGTAAGTCATGCATTCATGTACAGACACATCGTGCTGACCCGCAGTTCATGAATGAATGAAAAGGTGGTCAAGATGCTGACTCGACACATCTGTTGTGTGTTGCAGAGCTTGTCGTCTGAAGAAGAAGGCTCAGTACGAGGCAAACAAAGTGAAGCTCTGGGGACTCGGCACAGAATACGGTATACGGCTTACACAGTTTTTACACCAATTTCATCAACTTCTGCATCCATTTTTTCATGCTTTCTTATTCTGTATATCTACCTGTACTTATTTTTAAGATTTTTGACATTCAAAATCGACCTTCTGATTATTAGAAATGACTAAATATCAACAACTTCTAAATGCTAAAGTGCTCGACCACATGTCCTCCTGTAGACCGGCTCCTGTTTGTGATCAATGCCATCAAGGAGGAGATAGTTGCCCGAGTGGAGGACTCTACTCCGCGTCCGACCAACATGGCCGACACTCTGGAGCATCTCATCAAAGAGACACTCGGTGAGATTAAAATGAATGATTTAATTTAAATGAATGCTTTTTACTATAATATTGTGCCCTGTCTGGATTAGAAAAAAAAACATCTCTAACATCTCTGAATGTTTCTTCCTGTGTCTCTGTGTGTGCAGTGGCATCACCTGTTGCTGGGCAGACTTCAGACTTCGTCAACAAGATCTTGGAGACCACCGGACGCGGCGACCCCACCGGAGGGCTGGTCGGCCTGCGAGTCCCAACCTCCAAAATCTAAACACACGGCAGTCCACTGAGAGACGTGTGCTAAACATTACCACCGTGCTGTCCCATTGTAACTATGCCCCCCCTCCGCATGCCCCTCCAGCCCAAAGTACATACACATTGTTAGTCACACAAACACACATACCACTCCCTGTGTGTATGTATGTGTGTTTGGCATACACCCTAGCTTAATGTCTCTGCACACTGCGAGTCAGTGCGTCACTGTCCCCCAACCCATTGTGAGTGTCTGTTGGGATAAGCGCCTCTAAAAGCAAGTGATGGTCAGGTGTATATCTAAAGGCACGTGCTGAATCCACTGGGGATTACTAGATGCGATGTGCATATTGTTGTGTAGGGTCCGTTTTATTGGAGGTCTGCTTTCAGGGCTGAGACAGTCACACGAGTGTAACCACTGGAATACTTTTGTTTGAGGTTGTATAACAAGAGGAAGAATAGTTTCACGTCAGACACCATCAAAGGTTTGAAAAAGTTCCAGTTATCATTTCCTCCAAGAGGGTTACCTTACATGGCAACAAATATTAACTCCAGAATTAAATAAAGATCAAATTGACCCATTCATTAAAGCACTTCGATAAAAAGGGCTTTGGTTGCCAACAAAGCTGCAGAGAGAATAGTTTGTATGCTCCGAGGCGTTTTCGGGGTGGCAGGAAATATTTTGTATTGAAGGCCTAAATACGTTCATGCCATCCCCTGTTTGCCAATCAGGCCTGCTGTTGTTAAAATGTAGGAGTTAACTTTAAGCAAAATAAAGCTCGAAAAAAGAAACCGCTGAAGCCTAAAGAATTTAAAATGAGAGGCTTTATGGCTTATTTTGACTACGATAACTTAAACAACAGGAGGTAGTTGACCATATTCAGAGGAAGATGTAGTTTGGTGCTTTTTGGCCTTGTGCTGGTTATAACTGGACTGGGTAAAACGGGCATTTTGCCAGAATGGGAGCAGACTGTGAGGATGATGATGATGGTTAGGGTGAAATAATCCATCTCCTCTAGGAAACTGTACATAAAAGCGTCTCTTACTGAAAAAAGGCACAGGCTCCCCTTTTTGTACCGTAGAGATGACCAGGCTAACAGTTTGGTGTGTTCATACTAGTGTTTGATCAGAGTTCTATTCATTGTGCCTTGTGTATGTGTGTGTTTCTGTAGTCTGAGTGAGTGTGTGAGCGGGACTGAACGAGAAGAGATGATTGGTCAGAACTCCCTGAGGTCCAGCCAACGAGGGGACTACTTTACACTGAGGGAGATTGTTAATGAATGCGTGGAGGGGGACAACTGCAGAGTTTTTCAGTTGTCTAAAGATTTCCTGAATGTACATAAAACAATAGGAAGCTCTCGTTGCGTCATGCCACAGAGTCTGTGTGTGTATATAAGAGAGCTCTGCAATGGATACTTTTGTTTTTTGGTACTCTGTGTTTAGGGATGGGGGCGGGGGGAGGGGTTAACATATTATTTGTTTAGAGTCACAAAAAAAATATTTGCACACTATATTTTGATTGTTTTTTGTACCAAAGACACATGCAACGAAATGGCGACCAGCCAGTTAAAGTAAGGTTTTGCACAGCTTACCTGACGCCGTATTGAATGTAAGAAATGTGGGAGGGTCAGGGAACTTCATAGAACTGTGAAATTAGCTTGGGTCCAATTCTGTACAGAAAAGGAGCATTTAATCATTTCTTTAAATCTGAAAATGTAACCCATCTATGGGCTTCTCCAGTAGATGTGTTGCTTTGCAAGCACGTCATTCCTGAACTGATTCCTCCCTCCACGTGCTAATTGTTTTATAGGTGCTATTTTAGGACATAAACCAAGAGCGCTAGTAGATAAGCTATGTTACATTTTTGTTTGACAAATTGTCACCAAGAATAACCAAAATGTTTTGTTCCTGTTGTCACTTGTTTGATTTCTGTATGTAGTCGAGGTTTATTTCTTCAACAAAATATTAATTTAGCTATAAAGTACTGTAAATAGAAACCTTAATGCTATATCTATCAATGGTGGAATGCCACTTTTCATGACAATTTATTAATTTTTAAGCATGACACATTTCTAAAAAAGCCTATCCTTGCATTGAGAAAGTTGGAGGAAAAAAACACAAAAACCAAAAAAAGAAGTTTTTGTTATATTTTTGTACTTTAGCTGTCTGTTAGCTTCCCTGTTTGGAAGTATGTGTTCAGTGGAAAGGAGATGTGGAGGTAAAGAGGTTTTTAAGAGCAGCCAGTCGATCTCAAAGTTTGATATTTAAAACAACATTTAACCAATGGGTCTCCTTTGCTGGCTGAGGGAAATACAGAGGATTATTCGAATCACAGTGCAGCGAAGACATGGTTCAGCAGGAGCTTTGAGGACAACGGCAGGGAAGTGTGAGGAAAGTTTCTGTAAGAAAGCCAAAGCCATTTGAGTCTGATTAATCTTGGTTCAGCACTGTGCAATGTCCTTCTGATGTTCGCAAGTTTTCACTCTTTCACCATGAAACTGGTTGAATTTTACATTTCCTGGGATTGGACGCCTTTGAGGTTGCAATGCTGAATTATATCTTCCTTAGTCCTTCCTGACGGTTCACAGCAGCGAAGAATAACTTGTTTTAAGGCAATACCGAGAATTAAAATATCCTGACCTCAAAGTGTTCAGCATGTCCAACCTTTAGAAATGCATGATGCCTGAATGGTTGCCTCACTGCAGCTTCCTCAGAGGAAATGCCGCCATTCTCAGGAATTTTAAAAATCAGTTAGTCATTTTGTTAGCGGGCAAATATAAACAAAACATCCACAAGGATACATTCAGGTTAGTTCCAGTTCCAAGATGGAGATGCAGAGCTTTTGTCTTTCTGTATCATGTGATCGAATAACAGCTAGTGCTACATATATATATATATATTTACTGATTTCTGTTCCGTCTAAAAAGGGAGAAATGGTGCTTTTTTTATGAAACTAGAATGATGAGTATCTACTCATATTTGACTTCTTAGTTTTAGTTGTAGCCTAATGACTTACCGTCCATAGCTATTTTCTTAGTAGTGATTCATTTTTGTACATAGACTATAAGTTGATATGTTTCTTCTAAATGTTAGATATATGTATAGATTACTCTATCTTATATGTTTGAAAACAAAAAGCACTTTGTCCAAAAAAGAAAGAAAAAAACAAAAACAAACTAAAGAAAAAGCATTTTTTTTCTTCCATTTGCTGCTAAAAGGCCTGGTGTGAATGCTGCAAGTGTACTTGATAACTACTTGCTAGGATAGGTCTATTTCCTGACTTGGCTAGGTCTTTAAACTGGCAGGGAATAGGTGTGCGGCCTGACTCGGGTTAGGTCTACATGTTTCTGGAGCCACGTAATGATACGACTGTTGAATAAACCTGTATCATTGCTTGGTTTTGGAAAGATAGGTCTATTTCCTGGTCAGGAACCGCGTGGATAGCGGGTTTGTGGTCTTAAAAAAAGAGGGTTTTGATTCCAGGGCCCCTACTTTGATCCTGACGCTGACCCCCTTGGCGTCAGGATTCATTTGCCTTCAGTAGAGGTTTCCTATGGAAAAACTGATTCTGCTTTGGCTTCCTCTTCAGGGTGATGTACAGTGTAGACACATTTCTCCAGAGAGCTATATTGTTATCATTTGTAAACTGATTGCTACTTGTGACTTAATGAGGAGGAGGGTTTAGCCTGGGGCGGCCACGAAGAGCCGTTTGAAAGGTGTTGTTCCGGGCCGCCCTAGGGGAAGTTAATATATCACTGTACTGTATGGCAAGCCAGTTACAAATGGAGACTCAATCCGGACACTTATTGCCTTTTGAACTTTTACACACAAACAAATAATATACAAATTGGTGAACTAGTCAGTTGCCAAAGGGTGAGCCTGAGGCTTATGACATCGTTCCGCCAATATACAGTCAACAACAACAACAACAACAATAACAAAACTGTTCAGCATAAATGGCTCAAAACAAACCTTGACTGAAGTATCAGACGTGGTGCAATATCTCTGAAAGATTGCTACAAATGTTGAATTAAAATTTGAACTAATTGTGCTCAGTTGAATCTTTTGGTACAATATTTGAAGCAATTTCTTTCAGCAACAATTTTGACCAGGTCTGGCCAGCGGTCAACAGTGGATACATTGCCGCTGGTTGGCTAGTTTTGTAGTCGCTCATGAGGCTGATCTAAGAAAGAGTTCTCACAGGTTTTTACATTTAACATGATAGGTGCAAGCTGTGCAACTTTACATTCGAACAAGGAGACTCTGTGGCATTTTAAAAAGTCAAGAAAACTAGTGAAAATCCACGCCAGTAACTATTCCTTATTCTTTTTTTATTTCTGGTGACATAAAATCTATACAGTCAACTATTAAGCTGATGGTGTATCTTTGTGCTACTTTTGTCCAATAAAAGCTTACCGTATAGCTCTTCTTCAGCAAATCAGGGTAATATCGTTCTTCTATCTGACGTATGTGATGACATAAAATCAAAAGAAAATATATTTATGTATTCCAATTATTGTTGCCATTCTTTACTCTGTACAAAAATATGTGTGTGTGTGTGTTATGAATTCTCAATGTCAATCAATATAGTGCAATCCTCTCTACACAAACTGAAAAAAAGGCCAACAGTCACAATGTTCACAGTTGATCCGATGTATCCACATTGGAATTAAAACATACACAACCTACGACATTTTCCTCTCACAAAGGATTTGATTTCACATGGTGCTGATTACTTTTCATTATCCAGGTAATCCTCCAAGAATTTAAATAGCATCTGTATTTATATTCACTCAAAAACATAACAGACTCCCATAACAGACTCCCCACCCCCGATCTTTTTCATTGATTCTATCCTGTTGGACCAAACAGAGGAACATTTTCACTCTGAACGACAACAAATTGGTGATTTCTATTTTATTGAGCTGTATGATTTCTATTGTTAGGCAAACCATTGTTTCTTTTGTAAAAATCATTCTCATTGATTTGATACCCCAGCCTAAAGTCACAGAGGATCTTTATATCATCTGAGAGGTACAAGATTTCCCCCAGGACTGCAAAATAAATGCATTTATTTGGGTGTATTATAGGCCATTATTTTATTGATTTAAATAGTACGTGGGATTTCCTTCTTATGTTATTAAAATACAGGTACTTATTCAACTTATGTATTCAAGAAGGATCTCCAGAGGAAATATTTGGTAACGCTTTATCATAATATGTTTTTAGTAATTTAACCATCATTTCAAATAAGTTTTCTTGAAACAAGTACGGTATACCATTCGGTGATAGGAAGAGTAGATAACAATTGATACACTTACATTATGTTATATTACATTTATATCATTTCAGTTTCATGGCATTCATTTTTTGTTTTAAGCTGTACTTATGTACTTATATGTATCCATATGTATGTAATAAAAAGGTATATAATGACTTGGTGTATAATGAATAGATGTTCCCCTCTACTGAGTATTTTTAGCATCTTTCAGCTTGTTTTCCTGGTTCTTAGGCCCCTCAACTTCAACTCAACGAAGCACTTTTTAGAAAATTACGGATCTAAAAGATGAGCGTTACCAAATATTCTTGTCTCACTAAATTGGGTTTGTGAACAATATTTTACAAATTGACGTCACCTCTTGCTGGCTGTGGTGTCATCTCAGAGTTTGGATTCTGTTTTCAGATGTTTCTTGTCTTGTTTTGACCCATGTGGGCTGCTTGTAAAAACACCTCGTCTTGAGAGGTTGTATGCATAATGCCCTCCATGTTTTTCTCTGTGTAAATTAGAAACATACAAAAATGTGACAAAAAAAAAACGAGCGGGAATAATGTTTCTGCATGCCGACTCCCTGCAACGCACTCATAGAAGATCCTTCACTGCACTCAAAGTCACATTTTGTCATACTTGCTGCTATTTAATGAGCACAAAGAGCGTTATGTTTTTCGTTAAGTGTATCAATGACTCGATAACAGTATACTATGAACACATACCCTGTTTTTTTTTTCACACTTTTTTTTCGACTGTCAAAAGACCAAAAGTGTTACTCCCCTTGCACTTGGTTTTTGAATATGATGCCTGCTGAACCAGGTGCCTTAATCAAATCTTCGAGAACACACATCTGCACCTTCTGTCGGTCTGGAGGGGGTTTCCCCACAGAAACAAGGGGCTGGGTTTCCCATAACCTAAACTTGAAGTACAGAAATTAAATTAAAAACTAATTTCAATCCAAAATATTTAGTATGAAAAATCAGCCTTTAACAGTGAATGAGATTTTTGTCGTGTCTGAATATGATTTCCCTTTAATATTACTGAAGAAGAGCATAAATGTGAACTAAATTCATGTTTTGGGAAACCTGGTTCCAAATGTAACTCTTTCTCTGCCCACTACGCCACGTTCTTGTGTTTTGTGTATTGGCTGCTGCTGCTATCACCGCTGGTGTGTCCGTTTAGAGAAGAGTACGTTTCCACTGTGTCAAAGGCAGAGGGAGACTTGGGCCTGCTTTAATTAGTCGATTACAATGCATTCTTCTTCTGTGGTTTTGACATTGAGCACCGTGTTGCTGCCTCTTGAGATCTTTTTTGAGAAAAAAGGAAACAAACAAAAAAAGCATAAAACAGACCTTTCCGTTTCTTAACTTTGCTATAATGAAGTGCCAGACCCTCCTTGAAGCCAGTGTTGGCACTTAGTGGCAGGGTGCAAATGAAGCGACAAACTGAGCATGGAGGTAAACTGTGGTGCTAATCTGTCAGTGGCTGGGTGCTAACATGGCTGATGTAAAAAGCTGTTTTAGCCATATTATTCCTACTGTCGATGACTCTTGTCAGTCTTGTGTTTCTGACTGCTGTATGCTGACATAGCGAGGTATAACTTTGCTGCTGCTGCTTTGCGGTTGAATGTAGACTAGTCTTCCTTAGCAGGATCATACGGACAGACGTGTCTGGTGGAGCTTTTCCTGTTGTGCTATTTCCTTACACTTTTTTTTGAACAGGGAGACTCCTGTTGTCCGGATCCAGAAGGATCATGAATGTTGTATCTTTATATGGCCGCTGTCCTGCTTAAATGTTTATACCTATTTCTTTTTATATTAATATTTTGGTTTGATATTTATGCTCTGACTTTGTCAAATGTTGCACGGTTGAAATTTGATTTTTCCTAAATTATATCTTATTGCCTTTTTTCCCTTATTCCAGTGTTCTTACAATTTATTTGATATTTATTTGTTTCGTCCTGTAAATTAACATGTAAGGAGATTTGTAAGACTTATTAGCTTTTCCACTGAAGCAGGCTTTACCAGGAGTCACATGAGGTTCTCAGGCGTCAATCAAAGTCACAATGAAACTGACTTTTCTATTATTCCCTGTATACCTATAAACCAACGTATTTTTTAGATTGTTGATATATTTAAAAAATGTATCTTATTACATTTACACATTATATCAGTTATATTATCTCATGTACCATAGATACGATTTTTTTAAATGTGCAACTTTTGTAAGATATGCAAACATTAAGGACGATCTATATTTAGTGCTTAATTAGACAGTAAAGACTCAATAAATAGATCAGTATGCGAAACAGATGGCAATATTCTAAAGAAATATCAGATAATCAGTTTGAAAATGAATTTACAAATATTTAAATAAAGCAACAGATATATTAGGATAGATGGAGAAATACCTAAGAAAGGACTATATTTGCAAATCAACTTTAACAAAAGTCCTCTGTGTTGCACACAAACAGAAAGATGATTGTTTAGCAACCAGAGTCTGGGATTCATTTGCTGAACACATAGTGGCTTCAGTCCTTTGCCGTCCTGTGTTTAATTGTATATGACTTTAACATTATGTTCTGTCCTAATGCTAAAGTAACACGGTGCAGTTTCATTGTGACTTTGAGTAGTGGTCTGTGAAGCCCATGGAGCGTTCTGTCATTGAAGGTTTGAGGCAGTCAGTCAGCGCCTGGAAACAGACTCAAGGACTCAGCTCTTCTTTGGTCACGACTCTAAACCGAGGTCTGGTGCTCCACAGGTCAGGAGTCGCCCCTCTCTAACTGTGAGGGGGAAATTTGAACATTCGATCAGTTTTCTGGGAAAACTTTACCACTGCGCCAGAGATGTTTTGTCGCCTTCTGGGTGCTTAATTTTTTTCGGAAGGGCTTTGGTTCGCAGTTGTCTTGTCAGGGAGCTTCTGAAATAAGATGGGGGGCCGCTAAAGGCTGGTGGGCAGAGACCCCTCCACCTCCCCTGCAATAAATGCTGGGGGGCGGGGGGAGTCATTTCCTCTTCTGCAGATTGATCTTTTCGAAGCAAAAACAACAACCCACCCTAAATGAAAAATAAAAAAACAAAACCCCTCTCCATATCTACACGCGTCATTATCCAACACTAAAGTGATTTACATCTCCTTCCAGATTTGCCAAAATGCACGGAGCGAGACACATTTAATGAGCAGAAAATGTTAAAGTATATATTCTGTTTCCTTTTCTTTTCTATTTTGATAATAAAGACAGACAGAAAGATGATTTGATGGGAAATCCATACAAGCCTAAACATGTAGAGGATGTGGGAGGTATTGGTCATCATGAGCTCGATACAGCTACATGCTATTGTTATGATGCTTCTGGTCTTGTATGGTAACTTATATGACTAGATCAACAGCATGGGATCTTTCTGTAGTTAGTCCTGTGTGTGTTCCTCTCCCCAGTCTCAGTAGGAGGGCTGTTCTTCATGGCTAAGTGCTCTATAATAGATCTCTTGGTGATTATAATTTCATAAAGAAGCAACTTACAGAAAGTGTATCCTGCTGAAACTAACTTGATCCTCTCTTTAGCAATGACGTCTATATTTGTAGTTCACATATATGCCTGTTCAAATACAATATCTTGACAGTTGATATATTTATGTTGTGTAATAAGTGTTGTGCTGGGTTTAACTTTTGTTATATCTAAGTCTTTGTTTCACATTGTCTTTCTTTCTTGGAGGCACAGTGGGTGGGCTTTATGCACAGTCTTGGAAATGTAAGATATGTTTTTGTTTTATTTGGTTTGTACTGTAACAACTCATTCTGTTTCAGAGCTTTGGACAATAATTGTCTCTGGCTGCTTGACATCCTGCAGCACCTGCCCTGAATCTCTGTTGTGTTATTGTGCCTCTCTCTTTTCTTTCGTATTTTTTTAAAACATTCTTTCTCTGTTGTATCAGCCAGGAGTTGATACCACAGCTCTGCTTGTAACCACAATAGTCTGATTATGTTCATTGATTTTAATATCAAAATAATAAAACCATTAGCAACCCATCCTGACTCTTCTTCTTAATTTGTTGATGTTTATATAGATAGATAGATTAGTACTTTATTGATCCCAAATTGGGATTTGTTTGCGTTGCAGCAGCATGAAAAGACAAGGCAATGCACATAAGATAAATTAAAACACTTCAAATAAACAATCCAAAATATTTCTGGAGAAAAAAAAATAGCATTAATAAGTAAACAAATATACATGTGGAAATAACAAAATATAAAGCAGGATATTATATATACATATATATATATATACACATTAATTGTGCAAGGAATGGATTATTAAATATGAACTTGAATATAAATGTAAAAATGTACAGTGGGCGTTTGAGTCCAGTTAACAAGAGAAGCGAAGGAGCTATGTTTACATGGGGTTGTAAATAACTGAATATAATCACTGATTCATACAAAATGTTTTCATATATTTTAATTTTACACCATTTAAAAAAAAATTAAATCATTGTTTAGAATTTAGTCCATTATATAATGTAGCTATACATATTTATTAAATGCAATACATTTGATTATTTAAAAAAATATATATATTAATATAATATATATTGTAGTAACCTTATCGTAAGACACCCACATCACCATAGCATTTATGTGACAGAAAAATAAGTTTTTTTACTGGATGTGTGTGACCGTCAGATTTATCGCTTCGCATTCAGCAGAACGCTTTGTCTTTTGAGCCTACTGCTTGGTTATGGCTAGAAAGGATCCGTCTAGTGTAAATATGACGTCACGTTCTTGTTATAACTCTCGTTGTAATCGGAGCGGATTGGAAACACATCTACAGCAGTAACATGCAGCAACATACACATTAATGCAGCAGCAATATTAATAGAGAAACATCAGACATAATAGTAAAACACTGAAAGGGAACATTTTATTGCACCAGGAGCTATCTTGGGACTTTTACTGCGACAACGTTGACTTGCCTGTGAATACAAAATAAACCATAGTGTTGGTGATCTACAGTGTTGTCATTCTTCTTTGAACACCAACAAGACCGCTAACATCCTATTTCAACAATCACACTCCCTGTCATTGACATAATTAATAGATAGTTTAGCTTCTCACCATCATTTGCTGTGGCCAACTGAAGTTAACGATCGTAACTGAAAGGCTGCCTGCCAAACGTAAACATTCAGCCACGTGACATTCAGCCAAACTCTCGCGAGAGTTTTACACAAGACGGATCCTTTCCAAGTAGGGTTATGGCTAATAACCCTACTTGGTTGCCGTACAACAACAAATATGGCGTCTTCTGCGGATGTCCACGTCCGAATTTGTGGACAAGAAATAATCAAATATGACTTGGAAATTAAGGCACTTGTTCAGGTAAGATGGTACTTTTATGAAACATTGTTATGCTCAGGTTGGTTTTCAGTTTTGTTCTGGAGAGATTTTTATGGAGGCGTCACAACAACAAAGTGAAGCTCACGTTAGCTAACCATAGACTGTATATATATAAAGCTCACGGATAACACGATGACGAAGGTTAAAATAGACAGAAAGAAAAAGAGAGAGAGTTTTATTAAATATGTTTGGTTCAACTGATTCAAGTCGAGGTTTATTTACCTGAATAAAGTTATCAGTCGTTCGTGTTCTGTTACTGTGTAGTTGAGCTAAGAAATATCTTTATACACTTAGTATAATCATGAATACACATATGATGTGTGTTGTGTATTGTGTGTGTGTCCTGCAGGATATCAGGGATTGCCCTGGACCTCAGTCAACTCTCATGGAGTTCAACTCTCAGGTCAAAGAGAAGTTCAACAAACTGAGACTCAGAATACAGGTCAGGCCTCACATCAGGTGTCAGAAAAAGATCACAGTACAGTATGTTACAATGCATACAAAACTATTCATCATGTAGTATGTCATAAATAATCATCACTAACTCTTAGTATAGCATGTACCACACATATCCCTCCCCCTACTAACTCACTTGTTATTATTCAATCTATCGTATGACTGTGCTGTGTTGTTGTCAGGATCTGGAGCAGATGGCCAGAGAGCAGGACAGAGAGACGGACAGACTGGCCATCCTGTCAGAGACAGAGAGCCAGCGGAAACAAATGCTGAGGTGTGAACAAATCAATATCAAAAGCCAGCGTTCAGTATCAATCATTAAAATGCATTCATTGTCTTAAAGATTCATTTGCAGATTATTCTAGACGAGTGGATTTTGTTGAAAATATCAAAAGATTGTGAAGGATTATGTGTTTGAATTCTAAATCCAAAACCAAAAGATATTTAGGTTCATAACCACAATATCACAAAACATTTTTTTTGTTGCCATTTCTTGAACAAAAAGTTACGTTGATGATTAATCAATTATCAAAATAAATTGGCGATTATTTTTCTGTGGGCTGATATTCGATTACCAAACTAACAGTTTCAGCTCAACTTTACAAAGTGCAACAGGTTAGGTTGTGTCTCGGTGTCCTGAAGTTAGTAATAAAAAGGGCTGTAATAGTTTTAATTTTGTAGAAAGGTAGCCTCCAATTTATAATATTAATTATGCTTTTAGGACATAATTCACCTTCTAGTTGTTGACCCTTGAGCAGAATGTGCAGTAGATATCTGAAGCCAAAGGGACTCCCAGATGAAGACAAAAACTAATATTGGGATTAAGCAACAGATTCAGAAACAACAGGCCAGATGTAAACTGAGATATTTCTTTGGATTTCAGTAACCAGACAGCATGGAGGAAAGCAAACCTGGCCTGTAAACTCTGTATCGACCACAGTGAGAAGGATGAGCTGCTGCAAGGAGGAGACTACCAGAGCACCAGACAGAGGTTTGTACAATGAGTCAGCCCTATACCATCATACATTATGGTAAGGAGGAGGATGCAGAACAACTCCAGTCAGATCTCAGAGAAATGCAACTTCAGTGCTGCGAAGTGCAAAGTAATGCACTTAGGTCTTCTGAACCCAACATATGAGTATAATAGGTGTGATAAATCAAAAAATATAAACCTCTCTGAGACTCTGAATGAAAAGGACCTTGGTGTGAATGTTGATAATACCCCGACATGTAGTGACCATATCCATCGGGCAGCTAACAAAGCCAATGGTATCCTAGCAACGATCCGCAGATCATACACTTATTTGGACTCTGATGTAGTACATAGTTTATACACCTCTATTGCACGGCCACTCCTCGAGTATGGGAATGTCGCTTGGTCCCCCATGTACAAAAAGGATGCCGAGCTCATCGAGAAAATACAGAAAAGGGCAACGAAGCTGGTTGCAGAACTAAAGGAACTACCATATCAAGAACGACTGCGAAGTCTTAAGATCCCGAGCATGTATTATAGAAGGGCGAGGGGAGATATGATCGAAGTTTTCAAATATCTCCACAACATCTACAAAACATCATGCCCACTACAACGGGATTATAACACCAGGACTCGTGGACACTGCCTCAAGTTGAAGAAACAGTACTCAAGACTGACTCTCTGCCACAACTTGTTCAGCCTGCGTGTGGTTGACTTGTGGAATGATCTGCCAGAAAGCGTTGTCACATCCAAGACGGTTAACTCTCAAGTCCCGCCTCGACTATTACTGGTCTAACATCCCCTTCACTTTGGACTATGTGACTGTTGCCAGCGTCCATAGTATATAAAGAACAGTGATCTACTTATTTATGAGCGACTAAAAGGCCCTAGGCCTACTACAGCCGTATCCTATTGATTGATTTGTGTATTAAGCAGTTAGACCTCTGTTAACTTACTACTTTTCTGGCAAACTCTGGTCTTCTCGTAATATGAATCCAGTCTAGAGAGACTTTTTGCACATTTAAAAGTGTATCTCTACGATTTGAAACAGACTGTGACGACACACTGGTCTAGAAAGGTTTTTTTTTTTCTTCCTGTAAAAGTGACACTACTTGATGAAATTGAAATGTACAAACATTTAAGTAGGTTGCAACTTTATTACATTCATTTAATTATCAGCTCAATTATTACTATTCATAATTTGAACATTCAAAATAATAAATAGCCCAGTAATAAAGGTCCTCCAGAAGCATGTTGTTGTTTGTAACATAATAATCTCCTGTTATTTGTCAATGATTAAAATGCAGTCCGGTTACAGCAGCTGTCATTAAGGAGGAGGGGACGGATTTTATTATCCCTGATATAATAATCCTGTTCAAATGGGGCTTTTGACAGTGATTAGTTTCCAGTCCTTTGTGATGGGTCATTATGTTTACTACTCAAATGTGTATATAATGATACTTAAATAATCTCTGCTGGTAGAAACAGGATGCTCTTTCAAGAGACCCTTCTTTTGAGAAACACACCTTTCTGTGACTTTAACTAGCTTCACACTTTATACACAACATATTAGTGACAGCGACCAGTCATCAGCAGTGGTCTGCGCTGTGTGTTTTTCTTTCAGGAAGGTGACAAAAGAATGCCTTGTGGAAACCAGCAGCAACATCACCGAGAGTTTGATGTCGATCAGCAGGATGATGTCTGAACAGGTGAAGCAGAGCGAGGACACCATCGGAACTCTGGGTAAAAAAAACAACAACTATACTTTGAACATGTCTTTGTTAAATTTGGTCATTTATATTGTGTTTACATACAGTATATCCAGTTTACAGAAATGATTTTAAATGTGAAAAACTTAATGAAGCCGACAATCTTCTTCAGTATTTAATACTTCCTCCTCCTCCTCCTCCTCACACAGCCACCTCCTCCAGGACAGTGCTGGAAACCAACGAGGAGTTCAAAAGCATGACAGGAACCATCCACTTCGGGAGGAAACTGATCCTGAAGTACAACCGGCGTGAGCTGACAGACAAGCTGCTCATCTTCCTGGCTCTCGCCCTCTTCTTCGCCACCGTCCTCTACATCCTTAAGAAGCGTCTCTTTCCCTTCATTTAGCTGTTAATAAACTCACTTCAGGAAGAATGGCTCTTAGCCGTTTTGAAGTCAAAACTCGAGTACACAGTTGCATTGAGACTGAACTTCTGCACGAAGAAACAGAGTCAAGTGGCCCTTGTTTTTATCTTGATCAATATGCAAAATGTTTCTTTATAAAAATGGGAATGAAGGAAAAAGTGTGAACTGGCATTCTGAGGTTTTGTGCAACAGTGATAAGGTTACAGCCTGCTTCAAACAAACTCGGGCTGTTCCAAACATCACTGAAGGCTTTTTATATACTATGGCTATTGAGTAATCATGTAGTCTCAATTTGATAATTAATAATATATTGATGCACAATTTCATACGGTCTGACGTTCAAAAGGCTGCATTATGAGGAAAGCTTTGAGAATGTGACTATTCTACCCACTTTAACTCCTGATCCCCAGTGACTGTTTTAGAAACATCATTTTGAATTTGTAGTTCGAGATTCAGAACCAACCAGGGACTAAGCCATAACCTTCACTTTGTTGCCATCAGTCAATTTAAGATATGTGTGTGTACAACCTAGACAGTGTTGTCCGCTCTGGAAGGCTTTTTCAAAGAGGCCATTGTTACAGTTATTGACGAGTTTAGCCTGTGCCTTTCTTCTTTGGGACATCCAGACGACTGACTCAGACGATGCAGTACTTACTCATCCTCTAAAGTTCATTTGTCACGTTGAGTTGGAGAGTGCATGTCAGGGATGCCTTACCGTTCGTCTGTGTGACTATTTTACAGAGCAGGGCTGAATTAACACACTTCTCTTTGTCCAGTAACATCATTGTAGTTTATTTAATTTCTATCAAAATGCTTACAAATGTATTTTTGGATTCATTTAAATAAAAACTTACAAAACATAGCTTGAAACCTGGGGTCTGTATGAAATGTGATTCATCAAAAACACATATTTAAAACACGTCATATCCGAAGAGCACCTTCCTGCAGACAGCACCCAGACAGTCCACAAGATAAAGTTCGACAACGTGTCAACAATACGGTGCATAATATAACAATCCTCATAAATACAAAAACAGACTTAAATAGGTAGAATACTGACTTTCAGCTGCACTTGAGCGATTCCCTGTGTGTGTGTGTGTGTGTGTGTGTGTGTGTGTGTGTGTGTGTGTGTGTGTGTGTGTGTGTGTGTGTGTGTGTGTGTGTGTGTGTACACACACACACACACACACACACACACACACACACACACACACACACACACACACACACACACAGGGAATCGCTCAAGT